ACCCCACATGCGCTAAAACCAGCAAATCCATTTTCATAGAATCATAGAATCATTAAGGTTGGAAAAGACCTCCAAGATCATTTTGACAACCACTTCTGAAGGCTTGCAAAAGCCCGAGGAGCCGGGAAGGGCACTTACATCCCCGCAGGCCTGTCGACCTTAAGCCTGCTACGTGGTGAGTCACATACTACAGGGGGGCCGCACCGAGGGCAGGCCCGAGGAGCGGCGTACGGCGCCGACAGGGCCCGTCCACCGCAGGGAGACCGGGAGCCGCCACCCCCCCAAGGCGCCGGCAGGTCCAGAGGCGAGAGGCTCTCCCAGCGCTTTGCTGCCGGCGGCACAGCCGACACCCCCCACCCGCCCCAGCACCCCTCACCCGAAACCCCCGCCATCTTCGCAACCCGAACCCCGCCGAACACCGCCCAACGCCACCAGAGCCAGGGCGCAGGCGCCCAGCCCGTCCGCGGCTTTATGGCGCCGGGCGGGAGGCAGGAGGCGCCGCGCCGCGCGTTCCGGCCCCGGCCCGTTTGTGCCCACTTCGGGCATGGGGACGCGGGCCCAGACGTGGCCCTACAGCTAATACACCAAGGGCAAAATCGGAGAATGAATTATTTTTGTTCTGTTTGCGGATTTTTACGGTACACTCGGGTCACCTGCTCACCATTTTCCCACATTTCTGAAAGGCCGGTGTGTTTTTTGCCCCTGCAAATCAAAGCTCGGGTATGCCTGTGGTGCCAGGCCTTGCAGCTGCAGCTTCGTACAGACGGTAAGGTCAGGAGAACCGGTAGACTAGTCTACACACGGGGTAACATGTTTTAAACATGAAGTGTGTGTTTACAGTGAGAATCTGCTTTACATTTGCATACAGCACTGTAATCTTTTCATTTTGTTGGTGAAATTCACATTTGCATAGTTTTCTACAATAAACATGTATGGCAGAAAGTATTCAGGGTTTTATATGAAGAAAAGTACCTTCACACATAGATAATGCACCAGTTTATTTTTTTAGAGATACGTTAATGGGGATACATTCTTCTCCAGTTTTTACAGAAGTTTCCCCAAATTCTGCGCAATCTTCTTCCAGGATAAGGTGAGAATCTCTGGGGTGTTATTATAAAATAAAATTAGATTGCAAATGAAAAAATGCAGCTTCTACAGTTACACCACAAATCAATGGGGCATTTGTCTGCTAAGTGGAAGGCACAGCATAAAGTATTACCTACCGTTTTCAATCGTGAAACACAACTTTAATTTTTTCTAAGGCAGTCCTCAGATACAGACACATCTGGTTCAAAGGCTACATAAAGGACAGAACCTCTGACAATGTCGTTCTCTTGACTACTGTGTTGCAATTGGAGTACCTGTTTTGTCCTGGAGGCCTATTTTAGGACCTTTTTTAAAACACTCACTGAGCCCTACTGACTGTTAACTTATGCTGTAGAAACCAGGTGTCACGTAGAGAAAAATACAGCAGGTATTTTTTATCTTTAGTACCAGACTGTTTGCATCATGATGGCTTCTCATATATTAATAATTCCTTTGAGAGTATCTTCATGTGATGCGCCTCCTTTCTTTCACTATTATTCACTATATCATTTTGCTTGCTTTTGGATAAATGACGAATCCAATCATTTTTAAAGACACAGATATAGAGCTGGTATAGATCTTTAAGGATGGTTTCCATAGAGCGCAAGAGCTCTTGATCCCCAAGTGTAAGTAATCAGGAAAGGACGGCAAGAGACCGGCAAGAGACCGGCATGGCTGTGTCAAGACCTGCTGGTCAAACTAAAGGGCAAGAAGGAAATGCACAGGCAGTGGAAGCAGGGACAGGTATCCTGGGAAGAGTATAGGGATGCTGTCCGGTTGTATAGGGATGGGATCAGGAAGGCCAAGGCGCGGCTGGAGCTGAACTTGGCAAGGGATGCAAAGAATAATAATAATGTCTTCTACAGGTATGTCAGCCAGAAAAGGAAGGTCAAAGAAAGCGTACGCCCCCGATGAACATGACTGGCAAACTGGCAACAACTGACGAGGAGAAGGCTGAGGTACTCAACAACTTTTTTGCCTCAGTCTTCACTGGCAACCTCTCTTCCCACA